TGACTTTGTCGCAGTTATGTTCATATTTTCTTGGAGTGAAAATTTGGTTTGAGTCTACAAGGAATTTATAGCGCTATAACAGATGAAAGCATAATTTTGTATTAGGAATCAGAAATGTAAGTAGAAAGGTGATTAATATTTCATGTCAACCATTTTCCACTGCCTTTTCAAGCCTTGATAATTTCACGCCCTGTCTATGCACACTGTATTTTTTGCTTAGGAATTGAGTGCAGCCGGTCGCTTAAGCCTAAGATATATATATATATATATATATATATATATATATATATATATATATATAAATTATTTCAAACGAAAAAGACTTTTTATCTGTGGCTTATACGCGTTTCATTTATTAGTCTGATGCCCACTCAAGTTTTCATTAGGATACTATACTTCAGACTTATCTGTTAAGGTGAACAGCTCTTCTCATAAAGCAGGTTATAATCAAAAGGAAAGAAGAGATAATTAATTCAAATAAAACAAGTGCTAACTGCGTCACACTGCTTTTACCCCCACCATTCTTGTTGTTTTCCATTTTCAACTCCGACTCTTCGCCATAGCTTCTAAACAAACTACCAGCACCATAAATAAGCAAGCAACATGCATATGTTTCGTTGCCGTACAGTTGCAGTCGATGATTTAAGATCGATTTAACAGTGCCTAAAGCATGATAATCCTAGTGACTATGACACATGATAAATAAGCGTAAGATTTGTCTTCAGGCAGTGGAAAATTATTGTTGTGGAATGAACTAAATTTAGAGGAACTTAAAAACAAACTGCATATATTTATGCATAGCTTATTTTCATATGTTACCTTTTTCTATTTTATTCCGATTTCCTTCGTTCGGCTGACGTTATTCTATGTTATCTGATAAAATTTCGTAACTCAAGTATTTCTCTGAAACACATGGAGAACGTCACGTTTGACAGAAATCAAATATCAATTCATCTGCGCCTCAGAGTAACATGCGTTTGTGGGCGGTGTAATAACAATTACTTGAGAACCTTTACTGACATTTCATCTGAGGTTTCTGTAGATATCTGCAGCAGCATGATCTTGGTTTTTGGCACTTTCGACGGTTATGCTATATTCAGTTAATCTTTAATCTCAATTTTTTTATACTTCCAGCTTCTTATAGTACTTGAATGTTGACAGATCTTGGTGACGTCTTGATCGTTGGCTAGTAAGGAAATGGAGAATCTGTGTTTCGTAAAACAGGCACATCTGCATCTCAGTGTTAGCTTTCTAGACTTTATGTAGATTATTTCAAAAACTTGTACTTCCTCTTCTGTGTGAACGCAGTGACACTGTTAATGAAGTCAATTAGTAACTAAAACAACTGCCAGGTCACTTCTGCTTAATTGGGTTGATCTATTCAAATAAGTTTTAGTAAGAGACCAACAAAAATTACACGGTAATAAAATCTCATCCAGTTGATCCAACGAAAAATAGCACTTCACAACCTTATTGATATTTTGCAATGAAAATGTTTACTTCAATTTCTCTTGACATGTAACTTGACCTTGAGGGAAATATGAACCTAAAAAAATTCCCTCACTTTGGTTGACTTAGTAATTTGGCTTTGTTCACTTGTCACTTCAAAAAAGTTATCCTCAAATAGTCAATTTCATGGAACCTTTTTTGAAAAAAATAGGAATATCCAAAAATCACATTGGAAAGAGTGTTTCCGTAGTGTGGTAAGTGGCGGTTGCTTCTCCTGGAAATACTTATTTCAACCATGAATACTGGCACTAATTAACACCAGCAGAAAAGACAACTTTGTGTACCTCATAGTTAAACTCCCTTAAATTAGCGGACAACTAAATACTTTTTTTCCGAAAATTCCTTATCTATAAGTCTCAACATAGCTAAAACTTCACAAATTTACTTTACGAAATTTTATTTCAAACTCACTGATCTATTACATCTAGTCCTCAAATTTAAAGTAATGTTTTCTACTCCTTTATTTGAGAGGAAGTAATAAAGTGAAATAAGGTCATCTTATTGCATAATACGGTTCTACCGCTATTATCTCGGTATTCCAGTGATAGGAAGTGCAGAAATTCTGTTGTCTTAAACGCTGGTGATGAATCTTCTAGATATGTCACTATATGAAACTTGTAATCATAACCATTGATAAGTATACAAAAGTAGATAGTGAAAAACGGAAAAGGTCTGAATGTTGGTCTAAAATGACAGTTGCATATCATCGAAAGTCTTTTCGAAGATTTCGAAATAAGCAAGAAAGTAAAAGCTATCTATGCCAAATGCATAGTAAACCTTACAACATCTTTCAGATATTTTAAACTCTCTGTCATCACCATAAACTCTTAACGTAGACAGAATATTTCAAAAGACTTTCTTAAGTATAATCAGATAACACTTCAGGTGTAAAAAACTGAAATGTATTACTCGTCTTCAATGCCAAGATTATGAATATGTCAACATGTTCTAGGAATGAGCTCCATTTAGTAGACATTCCAGTTTTTTTAAGTATCTACAAACATTTGAAGTATTTATCTGTTAGTTCGTTCCGTAAGGTTATACTTTTTCTTTTTATCCCATGAATCATTACCTCTTGGATTCATAAAAGAAACTAAATCATTTGAAAATCTTTGCAACCAATCGTTGCAAACTAGAAACTCGCGAAAAAAATGTGTTAATACTTCTGAGCCTCAGATTGGCTTATGGAACTGAATCGATAAGAAATATCTTCCCAGAAAAGTGTAAAAAGCATCAGGGTTGCTGGGAGCATATATGTCTTTACATTTTGTACATATTTTGGCTTGATATTAAGCTTTTTATCGTATTACTGCTCCTTTCTGTTTTAGAGAAACTGGGGAACCCTCGGAAGTAAAGTCTAAAAGTTATCTGAACACTAACGCTTAAACAGAGTCCTTATAAACCTCAGCTAATGCCTTTTAATCACTTGCCAACTTCTTTTCAGAAAGTTAAACTGTGTACTAAGTAAATCGTTGACTCGGCAAAGTAAGTCAATAAATATTACTTATGCAGAATTAGCAGTTACACGATTAGTGATTGAAATAATATCAGGAATGGCATGACGAAAAGAAGAATAAATTTATGGAATAAAAGCATAATTCTTTTATCCCTTTACATAATCTAACTCTGATTCAAATGACAAAAAGATTCATTCAATTTATATGCAAATATAATTTATGTATTCATGATAGAAAATTTCGCCTTGTAAGGAAAGCTCATATAGAATATGATTTAGGATGAAGACAAATTTTATTTCAAAGAAAACATGAATAGAAAATAGCATTATTTTGACTTTGCTATACCTATCACTGGAAAAATGAATCTAAGGGGGAATATAACTGGCTGTTGCTGTCAAGAATTTGTTTCGTTAATTCATCTTTCTAGCTGGATGGTGTCAGAACTAAAACATATGACAGTCGGACTCCATTGTCAATTTAAGTCATCCGAAAAATTGCCAAGACTAAGAAAGTAAGAAGAAGGCTTTCCTGATTTGTTTTTGAGCTGAACACTAATTCATTTTTATAGGATCAAAGAATCAGGTGGAAACTAAGGTGCGTCAAAATTCCTCTTACTATCAGAGTAACATGATGTTTTCTATATAGAAGAAGAACTTCAATTTAGATTCTGATTTCTGCAACCATAAAAATTGCTCTGTGCAGATTCTCGTTGTAAGCAGTGGGTCGAGCCCACTGTGTGAGAACTAGCGATATGTCTTGGCTGCCCAGACTTCAATGGATGGAGCGGGCTTGAACACGTGACCTTATGGTTTATAGCCATCTCCCTAAACCACTGGCCCACAGCTCTTCTACAACCGTGATGTAAACCTTTACTATTAATAAACACGTGCAGTTGATAATATCTGTAATACACTATACATTTGACTGGAAGCTGTATCACAATTTCAGGTGGATTCATCGTCCACACCTGTTTTTGTGCAACCTTAAAATGGGATTCCATTTCTGCATTTAGATAAAGATATACAATAACAAAGAAAATAAATGTCGTTTCTTTGTTTCACAGAAGGATATTCAGAATCTGGAAGTCACAGCTGTACGATTCCTTTGAAATATACTCCATTCATCACAATCCACTTGTTAGTGTACTTGTAAGGTAAGTGCCAGATCAATTCATAGTTGTGTCACTTCATAATCATTTCACAGGGAAAACTTATATAAAAGTAACTCAGCTTAGCTCAAAGCTACATTTAACACAAAATGAGGTTGATAGTTCCTCATCTCCGTCTTCGGTTTTCGGAAAGCAAAAGCGGAGAAACAGGTTGAACATGTTTTTTCTTAAGTTATTTCGCCTTTACAATGACATACTACATATGTAAAAATAAAACGTATCAAAATATACTGAGGTAGTTCAAATTACTTTGCTCATTTCACTTCATACAACACTGACAAATATTTCGCACACAAATATTTTTATTAAAAATGCTGTTTCATACTTCAATCAGCCTCGGTAAGTGCAAGTGTCGTGATAATCGATAAGTGAAAAACTAAAAGTATCCATCTTGAACAGTTAAGCTAGCCATTTGAAATTAAAATGAATTCTGTATCATTCATTATTATTTTGGAAGTCCGCCTACGGAGGTTTGTGAGGACAGACAAATAAAAAAGCAAGTGCTGAACATTTATCAATAACTATATGAGTTTACATTAACGATGGATGGTGACTAACAGTGGAACCTAATATGCGCGTTTCTTCCCTTAGGGACTCGTCAGCTGGATGTAATACATGCAACAACATTTCACAGAATGCCTAATTTTTACTCCTAAACTTGTTAGTGAATTGTGTAAAGATAGGGACTGTGACCTCATCGTGAAACTTCAAGTCATAAATCTACATAACAGAGGACCTTACGAAAACCACCTCTCGAGTTAGCTGTTATTTTAGGATGAGGTAGAAACGGATCCATAGAATAACAAAGTCAGAATTTTAAATTGAGATATGCATTACACAGGAGACCTTCAACATAAAAACTCTATTACGGTCGAAAAATTCCAGTGAGCACATTCGGTTTCCAGTAAGAAAAAACTGAAAAGTTATAAATCGCATATTATTTGAAAATAAGTTTTTACACGCAAAATAAAGGTGCGAATTACGGTGCTATATTTACAAACGACAGAACGGAAAATAACTCATTCATTCTTTATTAATCCTTTGTCGAACACTCGACTATTGCTTAGTATCTTTAAAAACAGCGTTCATTAAGCTAGAATAAGCCATAATTGTAGAATATTTTACATAAAAAGAAATATCAAAAAGTGATTTGGAGTTATCATAACATCACCGCGGAATTTTCAAACGGATATTTATAGCTTGAAAGACGCATAATCAGGAGAATATCGACAAACAATATATCGCGGGAAAACTGTAAATGGTTAGCAAAGTAATCATGATCGAAGATACAGTGCAGTCAAAAGTTCTCGCTAACAGTTGACTTCTGGAGATTCAGTTAGTATGTATCCGAAATTTCTTTGCTTCATTTAGATCCAGTCACCATCTTCATCTAAATGTATCGTGATCTTATTTGGAATTTCACCACCATTGTCAAAGGAATTTTGTGTCGGCGAACTGTCACCTTGGGAAGTCATTATTTCCCGTTCTTCATCGTAATCACTTAGAAAGATATTCAGCAATTGACATTGTGGATGTTCGTGTTCATGTTGACTATTATCTCTCATACTGTCATCAGGTAATGTGTACACATCCTGAGAATTTGGAGGTTCGGATTGATAATAAACTAAACTGGTTTCAGATTTTAAACCGCTGTTTAAATTTTCTGTTTTGTTTGTAGTTCCTCTCTCTATACGTTGTTTTTGTTTGGTAATAGAAGACTCATTGTGGGTGGATGATGACCGGATGATGAAGACAACACTGGTGACCGTGTTAACGATGCGACCGATGACCCCCAACATGGCGCCAAATAAGTCAACACATTACTTATCGTCGGTATCGGTCGAACAAATGACTGTATCAGAAGATCTAAGTTCATACATATAAAGGAGCTGAAGAAGAATGCTGCAGCAATCCAAGTTAAGAAGTATGTATATCCATACTGAGATTCTACACTTTCCAGAGATATTTTATCAGTGTCATCAGGATTCCTGTTATTATTGGCAAACGTATGACTGCTAGTCATTGTCGTTTGGCTAGACGACTTGAATTTAAATAGATTGAGCTTCAGTAGGCTTTGGATGCACGCTTCTGCAGAGAATGGGTAGAGGATTAAAGATGTTATAGTGGTGATGCCTAAAATAAGACAAAGTTTTTCAGCGTAAGAAAAGAATATTAATTGGTTTATCTGGATAACTGAAATAAATGAAAACTTTTTAGTCCCCAGTTTTCAACTTTCTACAAAACTGAGAGCTATTGGTGTGAAAATTAATCTACTATGAGTATATTACCTAGTTTTGTTGTATGATTTATGTGAATATCTATCATTGAAGAAAAAATAGCATAGTCATAAAGCAGACAGTCAACATTTTAATGGAGAAAACATTTTTTGAGATAAACAATCCCATGTTCACCACATACATAATAAGTTGTGAAATACAGTTCATCGGGTATGAGCCACGCGCATAGATGAATTTCAATAACATCTTCAGAGTAAACCATCAGTAACATGTCAAAGCTAGTTACATCGCTTGAGTCTGTTTTCATAGGTTCGTCACAAAGCTGTACTTTAAAAAATTGATAAAGTGTAAGCCCTATTCTGTTTCCAATAAATTCAGCATCAGTTTGACGATTGAAGTTGCAGAATAAAACAAGGCATGCTACTCATTTGTAATAGGGGTTCTGCTGATTGTAACTCTTCGACTTCACCAATTTTGTTTGCAAACACACAAAAATCTTATGTGACGATACCTTTCTAAAGACGGATTGGTTGGGGAATCGAAATATTTTGGAGGTTATAGTGGTTATGAAGGGGAGCGGAAACAGCAGTGATAAAACAATCTTTAAGACATTTTTGGCTTCGTTTCTTTGCTTCTTCAGTAGTACAAAAATCGCCCATTTGAGTCTCAAACATTTTTTTATGAGTAACAAGTTCATTTGCAACTCAAATTCCCCCGATTTCCTAGAGTATGCAGTTGTCCCCTAAATTAAATCAACTTCAGACACATGACACACCAAACAGAATAAGTAATGTGGACAGATTTCTGATCAGGGACTGCAGATTCTCTGTGATTTTTAAGATTTGTCATATTACAGTTGAATTTCTTGACTAGAATCATAGTTACTGTAAAGAAGTGGCATAAAATGGGAATCATTCAAAGTCATTCGCCGCTGGGGTATTAATTTTTTTTCCAGACCTTGACTTGTCCACCTGACTGTCTATCTAGTGGCTTCATTTTCTGAGTAGCAGCTGTGTATATATATACTGTATTTTTTGTCAAATAAAGTCGTCCTCCTTAAACTGGTCAAAGGCCCGTCTATTGTCTTCTGATTTTCGCGGCTCAATGAACTATAGGATGTGGGGTAGGACAGTCATATTGCTCGTACCCAATCCAAGTATCTCGTTGTGTTACTACTTATCTCACTTATTACTGGAACTTACTTCCTACTCCAATTCAGTCACATCAGTTACTACATCCGGAACATGAAATTTAACTTAGGGTGTGTTTTGTTGTGTACATACTATAATTCGTTTACTTTCAGTCTGTGTGCTTTTAATTAGCTCAAATACAATATCACTTTAAAGCAGTAACTCATTAAATATTTCATAGTTGCAGAATCTTAATCTACTGTTACTAACTAGTGTTTGAATGATGTTCGATTACACCTAATATATAAAGTGACCAACCGCCGAATCATTATCATCAAAGACCAATTGTTATAGCTACCATTATTGATGGACTGAAATAAATATGCACTATAAAAAGTACTTGTGTTTTGTTTTTCTGTACTCCAATAACACCTTAGGTGTTAAGATTAATATGGCATTCGAACGGATTCCAACTCTCAAAATAGGGGCATTTAAATGTAATAATCTAATGTATCCAAAGGGTCAGTGTCCCAAATCAAGTACTTCATAAGAAACAGGTGGTTCATTGGGTTGGGAACACCTATATTAAACTTTATACTCTTCTGATTTCAAAAAAATGCAAGTGAGTGTTCGATTTTTCTGAAAGCTAATTTCTAATTATCCGTTCAGACGACTAGTATCTCATTCTGTGAATAAGACCTACATTTCCGAAAATTTATCTTCTTTGAAAGCCGAATAAATCTACGGATTCAAAGATGACCCAAATAAACTATTCGTTTATATCAGGACATTAAAGACTACCTATCAGAAAATCCTACAATAGAATGTTACTTCATCTTGAACAAAGTAAATATACCACGCTGAAAAATATCTATTAAATGCCTTCAAATTTCAGTCCATCTGAAATTTTGTAATTCGTGGAATTAATTACAGGATATTACGAGTTCAAAATATACTACTCACGAGTTGATTTGCAAGCTGTTGCCGAAGACTAGGTAATGGAAACCAATAATTATTTAGAAAAAAGAGCAAGACCAAATGTGGGTAGGAATGATACCTGTTAGCAAGTTTGTATTTGGTTGGAACAGTGATTGACAAGACTGTTTATAATCACTTCAATAAAAACGGCATATAATTTATTTTCGATGACTAGGCTAACATATTCCAATGAAAAACTCCATATTTTCAGTTGCATAATTAGTATTAACGCAAAGTCGAAGGTGTTAGCTATAAAAATGCGTTATAGAAGCGAAATCACCTTGTTAATTTCCATATCTTATCCGAGGTCAATCACTTCACAAAAAAGTGTCATGTACGTTTAATTTAATTTGTTACTTGAATGTTGTACATTGGCCGTATAGGTTATTTAGTATTTTAATACTCATAAATCACTATTCATCGTTTGACAAACTTACTACAAGAATCCGTCAATTTATTAGAATACTTAATACTTACTACAATAACAGTTTAACCACTAACAACATATATGAATCAAAATACAACTACTATTGTATGGATATTGTACTTAAAATTTCACAGTGACTGTCATGATGGGTCGAAATCAGCAATGGAAAACTGGAAAACACAGAGCATAAAATTACTAATTCGTCAGTTCATAACAAGAATCAAGCTTGACACATTTACATTTTGAGTTGGAATGTAACTAGGTACATTATCATTCTCTGAAGACGCTCCGTACAATCAGAAGAAAATATGTATACAGTCTTATCCCGTAACATACAGATATAAATGATTCAGGTTATAGAGGCAACGTAAAAGAGTAGAAAATTCAAAATAAAATATGGAAACGTATGAAATCCTTTTCTGAAGCTTTCAGAATAGAAAAGATGGTTTAAAAGTTTTATTTCTTCGATAACTTCTTCAGGCTCTACAGTTATAAGTCCATGAGAATGAGTGAAATAAAATAGCCCAAATAAGCCATGATGCACAATTTTTACTCTGTTGAAACACCCAGTGTTATGGGTGGACGGAGATGAAATCTAATGGAATGATGGAATTGTTATTAGTCTAGTGTGTCTTAAAGCAACCTTTTATTCCGATTAGTCAATAAAAGTTTGATAACCTATCAGTGACAACAATGCAGCTTTTAAATTCATTCATTGATCTCTCACAAAGAAAAGTGTTGTGTTCTAGATCTCATTATGGAGAGTTTGGAGAGGTGCACAGTTGAGTGCATGCATGAACTGCAAAAACTGTTGTGAATATCTGCGAAGTTGTACGTCAGGAGATGAGTTATAAGGAGCACCTAACTTAGATTTCTTGGCTAAAATTTGGGTATTTCAAAATAAGACTGAGTGAATCGCAGAGATCTACTGAAGTTGAACGTCTAGAGAAACATATACTATACGCCTGCCTAATCAATGGATGGAATTCGCCCTACTGATTCAAAAAATGCTGGCATAGTCACTTCTAAGTTGAGCGAATGAGCAGAAAGAGTAATGACTACGTCTATGTTCACGTATTTCATCTGATTGCATGCAATGAAGAACATTCGGCACACGTTTTAGCTCCTATTTGCCCACATCTGAAGAAACGCGATTAGTCAACCACTGCTGGTACATGGAATGCTGAGCGTTCTGGATTCAACTGTAAGCTACTATCCACGATCAGTATTAGGCGAGAATTACTGGACTAACGATATATATACACGGAACTCATTTACCAATCGTAGCCATTTATTTCGGTTGTCATCGATGGGAAATTACTAGTCACAATAACAAAATATTCCCGTCACATGTGGGGTGGTTGTCGTTACTATTTGCCTATAGTATAAGGCACTGGTGTTGGAGGTAACGGATACTAAGCTGAAACGAAATCACTCACTGGGAGGCAGAAACTTTCACCTAATGAAACTGAAATAGGATGAAACACCCATCCTGGGTTCGACTCTCAGACCCAATCCATCCTTAATGTGTTTCAACACAACTGCTAACCACATACAATATTGCATTTATTACCCTAATACGGATAAGCAATACAAACTTAGGATGCTTCTCTATTAATTTGCGGCTGAAAATGCTACTATTAATCCACCCTTATTATTATTATTTGTCCCTTGGGTTCCTAAAGGGGCATAGGGCTTTAGTAGCACGTCTCCAGTGAACTCTGTTCTCTGCAAACTTTTGAACCTTGCTCCACAACAGCCCACAAGCTCTCATTTCCTCCTCACACAATCTCCTCCATGTCACCCCCACCTCGGACGCCCAACCCGTCGTTTCCTATCTGGGTTCCACTCGAGGGCCTGACGCGTGATGTTCCTAATCGGCCTTCTCAGAGTATGCCCGATCCATCTCCACTTCCTTCAGCATATTTGTTCAGCGATAGCTTCTTGGTTGGTTTGTTGCCCAGCTAGAGTTTCTTGTTGCTTATTCCTATTATTCTGGCCATGTGAGCTTCAGTAACGAGCCAGCGTAGGCAGTTGTTGATGAATGTCTGTAGTTTGTTGGAAATCCCTTTCGTAACGCGCCAACTCTCTCAACCATCATACAGAAGCATTGACTTGGCTGAATTAATGTTGAAAATCCGGATGTTATGCTGAGTGCAGAAGATCTCCACACTGGTTTCAGGCTAATGAACACCTGTCTTGCCTGCTTTTCCGATCCTGACTTTGACATCTTCGTCCGTGCCGCCACCTGTAGTTGAAACAGTGCTGCCTAGATAGGTGAAAGAGGCTACTTCCTTCACGTTTCTCCCGTTGATGGTGGTTGGAGCTTCTTGTTGTTGGTGGTGTCGTTGGTTGAGTATC